AAGTCTATGGAAAAATCTGCTACAGAGGAATTTCCCTGTTTAAGATTTAACAGAGCACGAGAGTCAATTGTTTGGTCAGAATCTTGGTTGAAAACTTGAGTAAATTCGGAGATGAAGTCAGAGTAATAGCAATTAAGGCTATCGTCGGTGGCAAATCTTGCCTGAGCCCACTCCAAGGCTCTTCCTGTTAGCTGAGAAAGGATGAAGGTTACCTTTTTGTAATCCGTGGAAAAGCTGCCTGGAGAGTTCTGGAAAATAAGTCGGCATTGAAACAAAAATCCCTTACATTTGCTTGGGATACCTGAAAATTTCTCTGGGAGAGACGGACGAAACTCCGGAAGTGACGTGACAGGCTCTGGTTCCGGAAACGGAAGTTGGACGGGCTCCGCTCTAGGAGCTGATTGTCTGGAAAACTCCTGCGAAAACTTATTTAATAGAGTGTTGAGCTCACCAATGAATCTGTCCGCAAGCCGGTCATGAACATCACGAATGACGCACTCAAATCTCCTAGCCATTTCATTGTGGCTCTCACGGAGGGAGGCATCAAGGCTCTGAACCTAGATCCTTCAGAAGCCTCCAGAGGGGTTCCGCTGGGAATATTTGTTGGTCGCAGTGTTCTGTCATGATGGGTTCTGAAAGGGGACCCAATTATGCAGAACACCACTGAGGCGGAAACAGGAGTAAAGGTTTAACAGAGTTTATTTTGCTACAAGCACACAGAATGTACTGGTTCTGGCTCGGGCCTGGGAAACTGGTTCACTGGAGTCTGCGTGGGAGACAGTTTAGTTAGCGTAGAATCAGAGGAGCTTGACTTTGAGGGTTTCTGGTTGTACCTTGAGGGTTCTTGTGGTTAGCTTTGGGAGAGTCTCTGTAGGATCTGGAGAAGAGTTGATCAGCAGAGTCCGCTTGCTGCTTCAGCGTCTCACGTCTAGTAATGAACAGACCTTGGCTTTGGGTTTCCCAGCTCTTAGTCCTGAGCTGCATGGAAGTTCTCTATGGTTCTTCAGGGTTTGGCTCTGAGGGTCGGCTCGGCAGGTTAGCTCTTCCAGAGCTTCACAGAGGAGACACAGGTTTCCTGGAAGATAGAGACAACGGTTAGAATCCTGGTAGGATTCAAAGTCACAAAGATACTCATAGAGTCTAGGCTTAGGCGCTGACCAACTGGATACAACACTGCGACATTGAGGCAAGGACTGAAGACAGCTTATATAGTGGATCCTCTGATGATGGTAATGAGCAGCAGCTGTGCAGAAGGCTCTGCTCAGGAGGATCCACGGCGGACTCTGCTGGAGAAAGATGGTACTACTCCAGCTCCCAACAAAACCATTCATATAGCATATGAATGGATGGATGATTTTGATTTGCTCTGTATCTGTTAAGGAAATGTTTATCTTTTGTGATTTCTGCTGAGTAAAAGAGAAATAAAACGGCATTGTTTTTATACAGGGATAAAAGAAGTGATTTTAAATTGAGGGCAGCATTCAGCAGTTAATTTAATGTTAGAATTTATAATCCAAATCTGTTAAAGGAATTCTTAATTTTCAGCTTCTTGAGATGGTATTGCTACTGAATGCGGCTCATGCGATAACACCTGCTTCTTTGTGTGCATGTAACAATGGATCTCTGTCCCTGCTCTTCCTTTTGTCTCAGGATATGAAGCTAATGACTCATCACATCAGTCGTCTGTTTTCAGGGAGAGTCTATGGTTTAGACTCGTGCAATGCAGCTTTCACAATCTGCACAGTCTAACACACTTCACGTCAAAAGATTGAACCTTAAGTAAAGCACAAAACAATACAGGTTCTCCATTAATAAGAAGCACACTGACAAATTACTCTACTTGATAAAACTTGATAGAATCTTTCTTAGTCGTCAATGTCATTAATCTTCTCTATCTGATAAGTTCTGTTTACTGACATTTTCTATTCTTTACTTAAACAGATGTGAGAAATCCAGCCCCTTTCTGCTTCATTCGCAATTCTTTTATTATTTTACCAAAGCTGAACAAATTGTTCAGCAGTATGCTGTAACACTTTTGGCTGGTCTTTGCCAAATATAATTATGACATGCTTGTACAGAGTACTCCAGTTTCTCTTTCATGTTCGTGTTGGATAGTAAAGGCTTTTGGCTGATCAGTGCTGTAATGTTGAAATCCTTTGAAGCAATTTTTTTTTTCTTTACAATATTTGCCTACTTTGGGTCATTTTAAAGGTTTTCCAGAACCCTTTAAAACCTTCTTAAAGTGACCCAAAGCAGTCAAATAGTACAAACCCCCCCCCCCCCCCCCCCCCCCCCCCCCCCCCCCCCCCCAAACAAGCCTGATTTAAAGACTTTCTTTTGGTGGAGTTTTCTGAAAGACCTCAGTTAAAGCTACAGTGTGTAACTTTTAGCGACATCTAGAGGTCAGACTGCAGACTGCAGCAACATGAACATCTCCCCCCCACCGCTTCTCCCCCCCAACAGTACGGCGAGCGTTACGGGACAAAATGTCTTCCACTACGTCCGCATCACCTACCTTCTCAAGTGATGAGGTTTGTTTACATAGATAATTTTACAGATAGTATTTCATTAGTCTGTGTAGGGTATAGATTTCATGTAGACTTAAGATAATAAATAGACCCGTTATTTTTTCTACGTCGTTGTGACGTTTTGGCGATCTCGCAATCGCTAGTTTGTTGGCTCTGCGCTGCCGTAGCGCAAAGATGTCTGCCTCCATGGCTGCGAGACCCGCTCCTATGTAATCATAAATAACGAATTCTAAGGCAACGCAAATATTAAGGTTAAGAGGCTGAGCTCGTAGATGATGATAAATAACATAGATTTGTATAATATATTCAATTTCTGACTGTATATCCCTGTAATTATTACACACTGTAGCTTTAAGAAAAAATCATTACGTAAAACCAGGCATTTACACTGTCTAAAGGGTACCACATTTGAGCCTATTTAATTGTAGAATACCTAAACAACAATGTATAAACACCAAATGATGGAAGGACAGATAGGGTATGTGATGCAAAATTTCAGTATTAATCCCTTGACAGAGGGAAATGTCCTTAGTGGGTTCTGGTTAGAGTTTCCAGAGTGTATCTGCATGGTCTGAAAGGTATCCTCAAATAAATCATCCAAAATCAATAAATACAGCTGAAGCTTTATCTTTTTAAGCCATCTGGTGTGATCAAATTTGGTGTTGGCCATTATGATCAATGTTAAATGCCTGAATAATGAGTCGGAGGGTAAAGGGGGAAGCTTGCATACCTAAAACCACCCTCCCTAAATTACATTACTAGGATGGCAGTATCATATTGTGTGGGTGTTTTAGTACAGTAGGGACTGCCACATTTCAAAAAAGTAGTATGAAGTGGAAAGAACATTACATGCCCCATCTGCAAAGATTTAAAATAAAGAGCACTGTTTGTGTGTGCAACGAATTTGTGTGTTGCAGGTGATATACAAAGATTGCTCACTCAAATGACAGGAGGCACAAATTGGTTTTGTTTCGCCTTATTAAGGTTGGCATATTTTCTGTGCTTCTGGCAGTTTCAGAGTGGCTGTAGAAGAAATATGACATTATAAGCAACATAGATGAAGATGATAATTAAGATAATGAGTTAAAACATTTTAACAACCATAATGATAAATGTTTTTATATACCGTATTTTCACGACTATAAGGCGCACTTAAACGTCTTTTTTTTCCCTCAAAATGTGCGGTGCGCCCTATGGTGCGGTGCGCCCTATGTGTGTTGTAACTGCGACTTTTGAGACCACCTCATTGAGGAGATGATGAAAGAGTGGCTGAATGTAAGGAGACCAGGTGTTTTTTTTCCACTCATCACCATGCTGTTAATATGTAACTCCATGCGTGCCCATCTCACAGCTGATGTGAAAAACATGGGGAAACAAATTAACGCTGTGCTCGCTGTTCAACCGCTCGACATCGGTGTGAACCGGACCCAGCAGGTGCAGCAGAAGCAGCGAGTTTACATGCAAAGTAAATGGTTGACGCGCGTATAGGTGCAGCAAAAGGTCCTGCAGGGCGTTTTGAGCAGCAGGAGCATTTAAGCATCTGCCAACGCGCTGCTGCTGCTCGAGATGGAAAAATTGAAGTTTTGCTGCTGGACGCGCCGCATCAACCAATCAGAGAAGCTGATCTGGGAGCTGACAGCGAGACAGACACAGCGCACTGATGACATATGATATTAACGCAAATGGAAAAGGCTGGATGGATGAGGAGATGATGAAAGCGTAGCTGAGGGAGGTGTAGCCTATGTGAGGAGGCCAGGTGGTTTTTTCCACGCATCACCATCGCTGCGTGCCCATCTCACAGCCGATGTGAAAAAAAAGGTGAATCAAATGGATACTGTGCTCGCCGTTATCCCGGGGGTCTGACAAAGGAAGGTCAAGCTTGACCGTGACCCAGATGACTGGGTCATCACAGATGTCTTCACAGATATGGGCTTGAAATATTTCACTCTGTATGCTATGAATCCAAAATGAGTTTTACTTTCTAAAATGATACAAAAATATAAAAAATTATCATCTGATTTTTAGGAGGTGTGTACACAGTGTACAGCCTACTAAAACTAATGTATACCTTTTTAAATTTACTATTTAATTGGTCTTATATAATATGGTATTTCTGGAAAAAAAAAAAAGCTTTTATTGAAATCATGTTAGTAATGTTTTTTATTTGATTTGTTTTCTGAGTTGAATTATTAAAATAAATGAACTAATTTAGTGTAAATCATAATGAATATTTGTTTATGGTAAATATGCGCATCAGCCTCTTTACAGTCTTTATTATAAAAGCCCATTCTGCTGCTTATCATGAGAGAAAAATTGTGATTTGCTCATGGCAAAGCACTATTATAGAGAAAGCCTTGTATGCACCTGCTCCTAATCTGTCAGCTGGGGGGCACTTTGCGCGCATCTTACTGTCACGGACACATGGAGGCGCCAGAATACTCAAAGCATCGATCCTGTCCTTGTATTGACTTGTAGCTCCAATTTCAAACCAGACGTGAAACTCATTAAGATGCCTCCCTCTTTCTCCGCTGCTCTGTCTCTCTCCGGAGCTGGTTTTAGCCGCATGTCACTCAGTCTCTCAGTCAGTGGCCCCGGTCCGCTGAGTCTGCGCCTGTCTCCACAGCTCTCCAAAAAAGCGAAACACACCACCGCCGCTGCCACTGCGGGCATGACATCCAAGCAGTAGTGGTAGTGGACTTCTGTCGGTCGGCTTTTCACGGGATTAAAAAAAAAAAAAGAAAAAAAAAAAAGGAGTCGAAGAGACTTGAAAGAAACAGAGAGGGAAGAGACTCATTTCTGGCCGTGCAGTGCGTCGAGAGGAGTTGATGAGTCAATGGCTGGAGCACAGCCTGGAGTTCATGCGTTGCAGCTCAAGCCAGTGTCCGTGCCGGAGTGCCTCAGAAAGGGCAGCAAATTTATGAAATGGGATGATGTAAGTAATGGATAACCTCTTATAATGATAATAAAGCTCTATTCACAGAAGTGTTTTTTTATGTAGCCTATTTATGTGGATATTTTTGGATAATCTATTCGCTTTAAAGCGAATAGATATTTGAATGCATATTTCCCAGAATGTTGCATGTTACACAATCTATGAGCGACCCATGCAACAACATAATGGATGAATATATTTGCTGTGGAGACTGCAGTGAAAGGGACTCATCGCTTTGCCTTCCTGTTTAAATGCAGAAATGCTGCAAATATGCAGCACCCTGACATGCGCTTTGTTTACATCTTAGCTAATGCAGAGTATTTGTAAGTGAGTGAGCGCACGTGCCGCTTCCAATGCTTTTGTGCAAAAAAAAATTGATCAATAATTCAAATTAACTTTTTTTTAACTTAAGCTTGTTACCTCTAAAAAAAATTTAAGTACAACAAATACAAAACGAATATTTACAACATAAATATCTTCCCTTTTTCTCAATATTTCATTAAGGTGATTTGAAATGACCTCAGATTTAGTAAAACCTACTTTTTCATCTGACCCTTAGGCACCTTTTTTCAAGAAATTAATTAACCCCTCTCTCTTGTCACCCTGTATTGACTTCACATAAAGCTCTCACTCTTCAGTTAGATTTAAGTCAAATTACTTTCATATTTTCTGCCATGCTCTCATCAAGGTATAATTGAAAAACCTTTTATGGCTCTCCTTATTACCAATTTGAATTACTGAATGCTCCTGCAATTAGGAGCTTGAGTGTATATTTTTGCCATTTGTATTTCACTTTCCCCATTTTCTTTTATTTGTTTTCTTTTCTTTTTGCACTAACACTTGAAGATGACCCATAGTGATGCTTTCTGCTCTGTTACTCAAATAATTCGAACATTTGTTTAGATATCACAGTTCTTGTGTGCTGTGCAATGCTTCAAATAAACTGCTTTTCCTCTAATTTAGGGTGATATTTAAATATTGATTTATGCAATCCTTGGTGAAAATGCCTGTTTAGATGGTTGTGCTCCAGGTGAACCAAGCACAGCACAGATGGATGAGGATTGCAGAAGTGTGAGCACAGTCTGTCCAGACTACAGTGAGGGAATCTTGCACAGTTGTAAACATTCCAGTCTGTCAATCATCAGAAGACCCGTGAAATGTTTAACTTACCAAAGTGCTCATTCCATCAACTTTGTCTTTGTTGTAAAAGGGGCGTCAAGTGTGTCATTTCCTCTAACATCATTTTTGTGCACAACCTTTGCCAAATGCAGCCGTATCTCCAGAGCCAAATGCCTGCCAGTCCTTTCCTGGGAAATAGAGACACACCCACAGATATTTTTTTCTCTGTCATTTCCTATACAGATCCTTCCTATTTCCTCCCTGTATCATTTGGTGGAAAGAATCACAGTGGGATAAGGAGCCTGACTACAGTAAGAGTCAGGGGCTATAATAATTTGGCAGAGGAGAAGAATTTTATAAATTTATTTTTCTTCTTATCAGAGCTCTGGGTTTTGGGCTTCTCGCCTTTTTTGTTCCCAACATTGAATTGTGTAAGTCATAAAAAAAAAAAAACTCAGATAAGGATGACTCTTTCATTTATTGCTTTTCTCTGATGTGGGTTTTATTTATTTATATTTCTGCATTGGTGAAAATTACATTAAACTTCCTTTTTTTCATGTCTGCACATGAAAGATGTAGCATTTGTTCACAGTGCAGAAATCACATATGTCTGAACAGCGGCCACAATTTAATGGAAAAGCAGACGGTATGAGAAACTGAGGTAGACTCCAGGGTGCATAGCTTTTTGGTTCATTGTTCAAAAAAGAACAGAAGAAGGGTCTGAACACCTCTAGAAATGTTCCCCTTATACACAAAGGGCCGGATCTATCAAAGGTTTGCTTGTATAAAAACGTGAGCTACTTCACTGCACACGCTAAAAAATGTACAAACTGATCTATCAACAGCGTGCTAAAAGGATTTGGTCTTTAAAATGTGCTAAATAGCGCCTCTTATCCATTTAGTACTTTTTCTGCAATGAATATGCAATATAGGGCGTTTACACGCAAAAGTGCGTCTTGTGGGAGGAGAACATGTAAATATATTAATTTAGCACTCGCAAAGTGATTTATTAAACCTGAAAGCAATTTTGCTAACGGTATCTGACTCTATATTTAACACGTTTCAAAAGAAGGTGCAAATGGTCTGTATGCGTAATTGCGCACACATGGCAGCGGTTATTGTCGCAAGAAGGAGAAATGAAGCAAGGAAATGAAGCAAGGAGACGCAGAGAACGCATTTTCACTCCGTGTGAGTATTTTTGGAATGAAGGAGGAAACGATCATCAAAACATATCGTTTATCCAGCATTGCCATTTTGAAGCTGCAATTCCAGTGATTTGCTCCTCACAAGCGTCAGCTGTACTTGTTCCTCAATGCTGGTCAGAGGCATCTTATCTACTGTGCCCCCTCCTCTTTTGTTCGCAGATGTTTTGTTATATGCCAGTTTTTCTTTGGTTCGCCTTCTAATATCCTGGTATCTTCTTTTTACTTCATCCACTGTTCGCAAGGTTTCACCGACAGCGTTTACTTTATTACAGATTTGTTCACATATAGCGTTCCTCTGTGTGACAGGCACACTTCTTTGCTGTAGCTCACTTAAATGTTTGTTGGCTTCATTCACCAATACCTCCATTTCCATGGGGTCGAATTTCCTTTTGCGCTTTCTGCTGTCCAAACTCGCCATGCCACAAACCACAAAACGCGCAAAACCATCATTTAAATAGGGCGCCTCCAACAGTTTTGCACCTGCCACCAGTTACGCAATCACTCTTGTTAAATCACCCGCAAACCATGGTTCAGCCCCTCGCGCAAAATTCCAGTTTGCGAGCGCAAATTACTGCACGCAAAATTGGATCTTGATAAATCCGGCCCAAAGGAAAATGGATCTTATGTACTTCAACGTTCAGACATTCAGATGCAATAAACATTTCCATCTCATTTTTAAGTAATCTTAAACAGAACCGTTGACTCAGTTGCACAAATTAGACGTTTGAGATACATTTCTGTAAAGCTTTGATTTGCTATTGTTTTACTTGTTTCTAATTTGTCTTTAAGAACTGTAATTAACATTCATAAGTGTATTTTCTCTAGCCTTTTTGTCCTGAACAAGACAAGAGCAGAGGCGATGGCAGAGAGCTCTTTTTATCAAGAGCAGAGGCGATGGCACTCAGCGTGTTTGAGAGAGACAAACAGAGGTTAATTACTTTAAAGAATAGATAGTCAGTTCTCAGTTGGATCTGTTGTTTGAATCTAATATTAAAGATTAGGACCATTAACACTACCATCACTAAAGCAGCAAGCTCTTGACTCTTATTTTAAGCCTGAGATTTCCAAAAGGTTGCGGACTTCATTGATTTCCTCTGTTCCACGGTGCACAAAGGTTGAAGTAAAATAGAGAAAAACATACAGTGTAACTCTAAGACATCTGCTGGGGGTCTAACAGTGCCACTATGAATGAATGCCAACATGGCATAAATGTTTTCTTTATATAGCTTCTTCTATCAATGTTTCCATCACACCTTAGCTTTAAACCCGTCACTGGAACCTTATACAGCTAACCTTTACATTCCACATTTATTGTTATTTGTTTTTTCTTTGGTTCATTTAATAATGGTTAAAATGCTCTGACTTTTGAGTTTATTACTGGTCATTTCACCAGTTAGGCCAAATGGCCAAACTGTGATCACAGGCTAACTTCTTGGTGAATCCCCACTTATGACTGCTTTCTAATAATAAAGAATAGAGGCTAAGCACTTACCCTAAATCCTCATTGAGGAATCAGATTTTCCTCTGGGTTGCTTCTTTACTTTCCCTATACTGTATGATGCACTCTGAATAAGATCCTATCTGGATGCACAAGAGAGCCTAAAATCCAGTAAAACTACCAGGATATGTCATTAGCACAGAGCAGAAATGTGCTGAGCTCAAATCTCCTCACTAACATCCCCCCTTAGGTGATGGCTAATGGTACAGACGCTTCACCAAAATAATAATGACAGTCTTTCTTGTGAGGGATCAATGACTGCAGGGCGTTTGTACTTTTGCAAGTGAGCCAGTTATCATCATCTACCCTTCACTTAATAAAAAAGAAGACCACCAAGGTTGTTCAGTCAGATGAATATGAAAAAAATAGCTTAACTGAACATTTTGACCTTGGTTGTTGTTGGAAAACAAGCTGGAAACAACAACAAAATAACACACAACAGTAGGTTTCTTTTGAATTTTAAACCACATATTATGAACCACAGGAACCTTCCTGCTTCTTTCTTTTTGGTCCCATGAGAAAGTCTTCACTTAGAGCCGATAATGGCTTAATGTGTTAGTTGTGGAGGCCATAGAGAGTTAAAACATTAGGACAGAAGCTGGTGAACATTACTACTTTCACATCATCTGGTTGATTCCCAGAGCTCAGAAACTATTCCTTTTTTGTTCAGTGATATTAAAACCAATCCATCAAGTGCCACATCCTGTTAGTTGCATAAATGCTTGAATTAGTCTAATGGAAATAGAACCGTTTTTATGGAAAGCTGTTGATCCACCTCATTAATGATTCATTTTCTAGGAATAACTGATGTGTTGATTGAGTGCAGGAAATTGATATTTAGTTATTTTAAGTGCAGTTGTAGAAAACAGTCCATATGAACTGTAAGGCCGCAGATACAGCAGTCGAAAAGTTCACTCTGAACTTTCAACTATTTCTCTAGTAGCAAACAAAAATGAAAGTGTATTTTATTTGGATCTTATGTGATTAAACGAAACAAAGTTGTCTGAAATCTGAACCCTAAAAAAGAGCAGCTGTTTTATTCTCATGAATTACACTACTGCAAAAATAAAATATAACTGATCATCCCCTCAACCACACTGGCTCTGTAATGAGAGGGTACAGGGTCAGGTTGTAGAGATATTCTTTAGCATAAACAGGGAAGCTAGTCATCATTGATGGGAAGATAGATGGAGCATCAGTTAGAGGCTGCCAAATGTTGAGACAAGAGTGCTGGATTTTGCCCTTAGCAGGAGGACTGGCATAAACAACAATCTAAAATTATATAAGTTCATGTTAACATTTTATTATGTTCAACTCACATTTAAGACCTCAGACTGTGTGGAAAGACTTAAAAACTGTTATTTACAGATGTTATTCATATGAACAACAAATACAGATTTGCCATGTAGCATTTAGAGTATTAATAAACCTATTTCATAAGCATTTATACACTCACCGGCCACTTTATTAGGTACACCTGTCCGACTGCTCGTTAACACTTCATTTCTAAGCAGCCAATCACATGGCGGCAACTCAGTGCATTTAGGCATGTAGACATGGTCAAGACAATCTCCTGCAGTTCAAACCGAGCATCAGTATGGGGAAGAAAGGTGATTTGAGTGACTTTGAACGTGGCATGATTGTTGGTGCCAGAAGGGCTGGTCTGAGTATTTCAGAAACTGCTGATCTACTGGGATTTTCACGCACAACCATCTCTAGGGTTTACAGAGAATGGTCCAAAAAAGAAAAAACATCCAGTGAGCGGCAGTTCTGTGGGCGGAAATGCCTTGTTGATGCCAGAGGTCAGAGGAGAATGGCCAGACTGGTTCGAGCTGATAGAAGGGCAACCGTGACTCAAATAACCACCCGTTACAACCAAGGTGGGCAGAAGAGCGTCTCTGAACGCACAGTACGTCGAACTTTGAGGCAGATGGGCTACAGCAGCAGAAGGCCACACCGGGTGCCACTCCTTTCTGCTAAGAACAGGAAACTGAGGCTAAAATTTGCACAAGCTCATCGAAATTGGACAATAGAAGATTGGAAAAACGTTGCCTGGTCTGATGAGTCTCGATTTCTGCTGCGACATTCGGATGGTAGGGTCAAAATTTGGCGTCTACAACATGAAAGCATAAATCCATCCTGCCTTGTATCAACGGTTCAGGCTGGTGGTGGTGGTGTCATGGTGTGGGGAATACTTTCTTGGCAGTCTTTGGGCCCCTTGGTACCAATTGAGCATTGTTGCAACGCCACAGCCTACCTGAGTATTGTTGCTGACCATGTCCATCCCTTTATGACCACAATGTACCCAACTTCTGATGGCTACTTTCAGCAGGATAATGTGCCATGTCATAAAGCTGGAATCATCTCAGACTGGTTTCTTGAACATGACAATGAGTTCACTGTACTCAAATGGCCTCCACAGTCACCTGATCTCAATCCAATAGAGCATCTTTGGGATGTGGTGGAACGGGAGATTCGCATCATGGATGTGCAGCCGACAAATCTGCGACAACTGTGTGATGCCATCATGTCAATATGGACCAAACTCCCTGAGGAATGCTTCCAGCACCTTGTTGAATCTATGCCACGAAGAATTGAGGCAGTTCTGAAGGCAAAAGGGATCCAACCCGCTCCTAGCATGGGGTACCTAATAAAGTGGCCGGTGAGTGTAATTTTCTCATCAACTCAGAATTGGTAACTACTTTGTACCAATTTTAAACTACTAAGAAGGGTAAATGGGGTATGAATAATTTTCAAAAGTGTGTTTTTGTTGTTCATTCAAGCATGCACAGATTGTGCAATTACACAAGTAAACAAAAAAAAAAACATTCTTCTATTAGATTTCACATGAATGTTGAGTTGCCATAGTGAGCATCACTATAGCAAATGCCTCTGATACAGCACACCACCAGTTCTTCCTCTGAAAATGTCACCCGTTTAGTTTTTTTGCTCAGTTCTATTCTCTGTTTCCCTCAGTGTCCATACCCCTCCATCATGGAGCAGGTGTGTCAAGAAGTGTAATGTCATATTTACAAATAATAAAATGTTTTTATTTATCATGTTTTTTTGCACCACACTACAGTCTAATCTGATGTCTAGCATCTCCTGGTCCAAAGCTTTCATGATAAGCCAAACTGTAAATGGCATGGGGTCACACTCAGATATAACGCGTGTAGCAGATTTTCACCATTAGCTCTGCCTCCAAATGTTGTGATAGGGTCCTCATTAGTCGTCTCATGAGGACACTTTGAAGATTTTTGTCGCTCCGGGCAGCAAATGGGATTTGATTTCTGTGTTCTCATAGATTTGGCTGATTGAAGAGGACAATATTCTACTGTTCAGTTGAACCTCTGCCACTATTGATGCCGAAAAAAGGGCAAAGCCTTCTTTTTATAGAAGCATCCAATAAAATCGGGCGTTGCCATGTGTGCCCTAAGGTCAAACTGTGTGTGTGAAACATGGAACTGTCCTTATATAGATGCTGAGGGAAAGCATTTCCCGTCACAAGCAGGAAAACTAAAAACATCAGCTTTAAAACAATCTGCAGCTATGAATGCTGCCACAGCAAATACAGTCACACACCCGGGTGCTGGTCATTTGTGGCAATGCCTTCTCATGAATTAGAAAGTACCCTATATGGAAAGGATTGTGTGCAAGTTGCAACGTAAACAGCAGTTTTAATGTCATTCCAGGCTTTGGAATGCCAGCGGTGTTAAAAAAGTATGCTTTGATGCTGACAGAGAAATTAACTGGTTTACCTCTGGGAATATTCTGCCATAGTACTCCTGTGTAAGCTACCAGAGGCATGCAGTGTTACGCTGTGACACACTGATTCATTCCAGATGTTTTTTCTTTTTTTCTACAGGATTCGACCACTGTGACCCCTGTGACTCTAACAGTTGACCCCAAAGGGTACTTCCTCTATTGGACCGACCAAAACAAAGTAAGGCAGCACATTTTTTGTCTATTTGAGAAAAAATTTGTATTGCAAATGCTTTAAGTCCAAAATTCAACTTTCGTGCCTACAGGGCAGCAAAAAAAAAAAGTCTTCTTGTATTACATATATGCTATTTATTGATAGGAGAGGCAGCAGCAGCAGTGCTTTTTCTAATTTTGCTTTAAAATAATCAATCCCAGCTTGTTTTGAGAGATGCAAAGCAGGGAGAAAATATGAGAAAATATCAGAAGGGTCCGTTAATATTTAAGCCATCAGATGATTGGCAATAGTCCTAAATGAGAACAGGTGTCAAGGCTAAGAAATATGAAAAAAATGTATCTGCAGGCACAGTTATACAAACAGGATAGCTCTTTGTGTTTGCAAAATGGTAATGTTGTTTTTCCCAATACAGCTGAAATTCTCGATGGTTTGGTTTGGTTTGGGCCTTGGTTGTCACGAGATTCCCTCAATATCATCACCTAGGATTCAAATACTAATAAAATGAGGAAGGAGGCAACCTGACTGGCAGTGTGCAGGAGCATATGTGGAACGGGGAATGTTCTTTACCCTTTTTATACACACATGGCCTTTTTTGATAAGAAACATTTAAACTGTCAAAACTGTCATTAAACCATAACTTTAACTAATCTAAAATGATCATCTGATTACAGCGATGCACCATACTTATCAACTCCTGCCACTATATAATTCGATAGCCCTATATGTTGTACTCAATAGTAGATTCTAAAGTGGAACCTCTAGGTTTAGTTGCAACCTACAGATCAGTTAAAAACTATTTGGCTATCTTTAATATAAATACAGTGAGACATTCATGTCTCTATTTGTAAAAAACAAAAACAAAAAATAGATCCAGGTTGGTGTGCACATGTTGTCTATTGGTATCTTCATTCCACAATGAGTGTCTGGAAACACCCTTTACAACAACAGAAGATTTCCCCTAGATCTTTTAAAAAATAGAATAAAATCAAACCTTTTTTCCTGGAGTGCTTGCAGACACCAAGATTATGAAAATGAGCTCTGTCAGTTTGTGTCAGATAATCAAGCACTTCATCCTTGTTGACTCCTGTAAAAGTGAACACGATTTGCATTGCCCATATTTTATTACCTCTGCCAAGGAGGTCATGTTTTCATTGCTGTCGGTTTGTCTGTTTTTAAAATAATTAAAAAAAAGTTATGGACGTACAGTATTTTGCTAACATTTTTAGAGATTGACAAATGATTAAATTTTTGTGGTGATGCACATCACCATCTGAGTCCAGGAATTGATATTAAATATTCTGTGAATACAGGTAATAACTTAAGGTGGGAATCACAATATGTCGTGAAAAGTGAGATACTTGGCTGAGGTCTGCGCTCTCCGTGAGCTTTTCTAGACCTGTTTATTTCAATGTACAGTAGAGCTGTTTAGTTCTGGGACCTGATTACTTTGGCGAGCACAGATCTGCTTGTCTGACGCCTCCAAACAGCTCGATAGGGGTAATGTGTTCCTGTTCTATTTATGAGTAGAACTTTATCAGCAGTGTTAGTCTTGCAGAGACTAATTAATAGCAACCATTGATTTGATGCTTTCCTAGATGAGCATATTTTACTGCAGTGATAGCAGAGCACAGACAGGAGTGCTGACCGAGACTTAACCTCGCCACACAAGCCCATACACACGTCTTCCACTCCTGCTTTCAAACAGGGAAAGGATGCTATTAGGTTGCCAGCCTAATGTAAATAATACACTGTCTGTGGAAAAAGAGTCAGTGTCTGCATGGAAAAAGTACAATTCTATTAAACAATTAACAAGGAAAGAGAAGTGAGTGATAAACTGTGAGAGTAGCTTACTAGGAAAATTAAGAGAGGCTGGGACAGGTTGAAATGAGTTCACTATTGTTTTCTGCCCCTCCATTATGAGGCAAGGAGTTTGACTGATGAGGCTTTTGCATCTATGTGTCTGGATTTGCTAGTGTGTGTTTATGGATGCGAATGTCTGCTCAGTCTCCCAGCACTGAGAACAGTCCTGCCTCACACATAATAACTCAAGCTGATACCAAGCAAAGCCTGGGTGAAACTCTATTAGGGCATAAAGAAGGGCACACACCATTCCCCTTTGTGCAAATGTGTATTTCTCTTGTGCTTGCAAATATGCCTTTTCTTGTATTTGCGAATAGTTATTCATATAGTATTAGACATGTGTTCAACAAAAGGATTCAAACAAGCAGTGATGCCCTGTTCACTTGATACGGGTGTTTGTGAGTCTCAGCCTGATGGCCTGCAGAGTAAAAGCATTCCTTGGATTCTTCAGAAGCACAGCAGAACTGTACTCAGTGTGCCAACTGCACTGATTCTTAAACTGTCATTATCACTGATAGATTCAGGTATTTCCTGTACCGCTGCTTCATTAACTTTTTTATGTTTGGCTTTTTAATGATCCTCCTAAAAAAATAAAACAATTAATTTAAGGGTTTTAGTCACCAAAATGTTTCTAGTACTCAAATATTGAGATATGTTTCTAAGAGGATTATAGGACCCCCACTTTTTAATGTGGTTTAAAGAACAGCCATTTTTGAAGGGGACATTTTTTTTATTGTTTTTTTATATTCCTTTATCTCTGACTGATCTTTTAGTGCATCAATGCTAGCAGAAGTTAAGCCAGCAGTTTTAAGAAGAATTTATTTAAACAAGCTAGACCTACTCAGGGGCCCGAAAGTGTTTGTGTTTGAGTGTGGCTAACTGTGGTGCTGTGATTTACTATGTAAAAGTGCTAGTTAAACAAAAAACTTTGGGTCTGATCTTAAAACACGTGCAAATGCATTTGTATTTGCAGAGCAGACAATTAAAGACGGTGCAAAGCAATTTCCGTGTGTAGCTCAGCAGACAAACTGTATTTGCCTTCATCAATATACAGATATTCTAATCACCAAATGTAAACAGAAACTGAACTGCGGGCGCAGTTTGTGCATCATTTTAAATACTTCTGAAATTCAGGTGCAAACTTGGACGGAAAATAGCTGTGGTCATTGTTTCAACGAAGGAGGCATTAGTATAACACCAGAGGATGGCGAGATATGCTGTGCACATGTAAACATATTTGGGGGTCAGAATGAGCTATAGTTGATTAATATTACTAAGGAAAAAACGTCTATTCAGGAGGCAACACATTAATACACCGTGATGATACCCGATTGCTGTACAATCACACTAAAGTGGAAAAAATGACTTAACTTAGATATTGGGGCTTGTTTCTAAAAATTATTGGATTCTAACAGGGCCTGCAAAGAGATATAACGGCTGTAAGTGCACATCTCAGGGATTTTTTCTTCCTTGATTTAAGAAAGCATAACCATGCACGAAGCATGGTAATGTTTTTTTGTTTATCTTTTGTTTGCAGCACTTTGAAATAGTCTACCTGTGTGAGGTGCACTTTAAATTATCATTATTATTTTTTAATTATTATCGGCATTACCACCATCTACATTGCTTTGAGCTTTATTTTTCTCAAACTGTATAACATGCAATCTGTTCATTTTTATGTGAGGAACCAAACTGGTTTGCATACTTAACCTTTTTGCAGCAATCTTTTTAGATCTTCAGCAACACACCCACTTATTGGATTTACTAAGAAAAAAATTACACATGCAATTTATCCTCCCTTGTTTGGAATCTTTGAAGATCAAGCACTTTGTGTTTTTACTGCAGGAACTGACATGTTTTTGCCAATTATTATTCCAAATTTGTAAAGAAAAGAGCAATCAAGAATATCTAGTTTTTAACATGGCCAGAGTAAGTTTTTTTTTATTTTTCCTGTCTCTCAGCTGCTTGTAGACATTGGATAAGATTCATGCCATATTCCATTAAGCTTAAAACAGCAATTCAGTCTTTGACTGTCATGATTTTATTTTTCCAAGAGATATAGGCTGATGACCCTAAAGAACGGTGAGCAGAACCCCTTCGTTTGTGAGGTAGCTTTAATTCTACAACATTTCTACAGTCTATAGAACTACAGCAAAGACTGTGCTACATATTGATCCACCTCCTTATTTATAAACTGTAGTTAAGACTGATTTTGAATATCTATTAAAATATGTTAGATATTGTTTGAAAATAGTCAAAGATAGAAATAAATTGGCTGTGGTTTGGAAATTTGGCATGTACAACATTGCAATCGGGTGTTGGTCTTTCCCTACAAAAGCAGGTCCTTTCTCCGGCTTGGCATAATGATGGTGCTCAGAGAGAACTAGGGTTATATTGAAAGTTTAATAATGGATACAGCTCCTAAAATGTGTTGGTATAAGTCAAATTCCCATTCCCAAGTAACAAAGATGTTTAGCAATTTTGATACTTCCTTCCTTCTAAAAAACCTTTTTAGTTAATAAGTATATTAATAAGACGTTTAATAATCATTAACTAAAACACACTGGCCAAAACCTGACCTGTTTTTTCCTGTTAGAGACATACTGTAGGTATCTGATTTATCCACAAGGAAAGTACGGAAACATTTACATTAGATAAACACAGAAAACTAAAAAAAACTAAAAAATGTTTTAATAGTATAAATACTTTAAAATTGGGCTGAGGCAGCAATATAACCTGCCCATTTCTCCATGAGCAGAACGAACTTTAGATATGCTTTTGTTATTTAGTAATCAAGTCTCTTAAGATTAGAGTATAGAGACCTTAAAAAAGAATGACCTAATCTAAAAGCTTCTCCTAGTTTTAGCCTGCCTCTTTATTGGTGGTAAAGACTTTCTTTTTTCTTTTTGCTATTTTAGTATTCTGCAAAGGACTTTCAGAGGTTAAAGAAGATACATGTTCAGCCACTGTTTGACTTTTCATGAAGATGTAGAGGAAAGCTTGGAGACATATCAATGGCAACAATTCAGGATGTGAGCTGAAAGAGGCTGGATCAAATGATAAGCTTAATTTGATTTTTCACTTCCCTCCCTTTAGCAGTGGACTCATGCCAAAATAAAACCTCTAACAAAGCTGCTCTTGTTGCA